CTTTCTATTTTGTATTTGAAAAATTAGGTATGATCATGAACATGGAAATGTCTCCTAATATCATGAGGATAATACAATCATAAAATAAAATCAGTGTTAGTTTTGGTCTCTGATAAATGTATTATATTGTGATTTTGAGTAAATTGAGTCCCCCAAAAAACATTTATTTCTGTAAAATTTCAATTTTGTAAATTTTCATTGCTTGTATTGGAAGCTGACTAGAATTACTAGGCACCTGCTGCTCTGAGTCTGGCGTTGTTCTGGGGACCTTACACCTGTTAAACCATTAACTCATCACAGCAGGCTATACCGTAGGTCTGGATTCTCCCATTTTACTGAAAAGAGATTGAAGCTGAGTGTGCTGAGGTAACTTTTCTTATGCCACTCAGCTAGTAAGGCTCAAAGCTGGAATTTGATCTCTGTTTGTGTGGCTCTGACTACAACAGGCTCCCTAATTGGAGATAGACATAGGAACGTATTAAGGCTTCCTTTTGTATTTAGACATTCATTTGGGTAAGATATGAAGCCAACTCCTATTGGTTGAGATGGTAGGGTGTTGGGAATCAATTCAGCTTAGTACTGAGTGTAAGCTCTGGCAAGATCCCAGGCTTCTGTCACATAGTACTGCCAGATGAAGGGTTGCCTTGATCATCAATAATTTCATTTCTACACAGTATCGTTCCATCATCTAACGGGATGACTTGTGCGAAAATAAATTCATTGAAGTTATAGTGTGTATTTCCCCCTGCTTATCTGAAGCATCACTGGCATGCTTATTTTATCTTCTAATTCTTGGCATTTGATTCAGGGCCATGATTTCCAAAGCTGGTCTCTTGGCTGGACTCCAACATCTGCCATTTGTTCCTGCCTTCTCCCTGCACCCCCACCAGTTACATACCTCTCCACTGATAGTTGCTCATATTTTGCTTCTATAGTAGCTTCTGAATCCAATCTCCCTCCTCTTTAGTCTATCCTAAATATTGCCAATCATAGCGATTTTTTTCACATTACTAACTTGCCTCAAAATACTATTGTGCTTCATGTCAGACTCTGTGATTCCATTTATATAATATTCTTGAAATGTCAAAATTATAGAGTTGGAGAATTGATTAGTGGCTGCTTAGGGTTAAGGATATTGGTCTGAGGGTTAAGGATATTGGTTTGAAGGGAGATAGGTTTGATTCTAACAAGCATGGCATGAGGGAAATCCTTGAATGATCAAATAGTTCCGTATCTTGATGTATGGTAGTGAGTACATATGATAAAATAACACAGAGCTAAACTCAAACTTAACCTAATGTCAATTTCTTGCCTTTGATATTGTACAATAGGTATATAACATGGATAAAGACTACATGGGACCTATTGTACAATAGGTATATAACCTGGATAAAGACTACATGGGACCTCTCTGCTATCTGTGCACTTAATGGGATTCTATAATTATATAAAAATAAAAAGTAAACAAAAATAGCATTGTGCTTTAAAATGCTAAAGTTGCTATGTCTGTCATATTCATTGCTATATTCTTTGTTTCCTCCTGAATTAATCATACAAAATCATCTCCTGATTTTTTCCTAAGTTGATATTAACACAATGTTTGTCTTTTATCAGGTTACCAAGAAATTGTTAATTAAACAATTAAATATGCTTTATGAAAGAACAGTATATCATTACTTGGTCTCATTACTAGCCATCTTGTTTTCCTACTCTTTTCCTTACTCATTCTTGTCTTTGTGTAATCTCTCTCCATGCATTTAAGAAGCATGCCAGGGGTTTGACTGGTGGAGCCCTGGAGACTTGGGCTTGCCTAGAGCTGTTGCATTGCCTGTGACTACAATCATTTAGCCAAAAGTCCTGTCACAAATTCTAAAAGGCGATGGCTCTTTGAGGACTTAAGACTTAGTGTGATAAGAATCAGATGAGCCAGGAAACCCAGGATATGAACTATGGTGAATCACAACCATCAATCCATTCACATTTACTAGAGTAGTTTTATAACGCAGTATATGATCTTTCTTGGTGAACATTCCGTCCTGGAAAGAAAAAGATATCCTGCAGTTATAGGTTTTTGTTTGTTTGTTTGTTTTAAATATTTTATTTATTTATTCATGAGAGGCAGAGACACACAGAGGCAGAGACATAGGCAGAGGGAGAAGCAGGCTCCTCTCAGGGAGCCTGATGCAGGACTTGATCCCTGGACCCCGGGATCTCACCCTGAGTGGAAGGCAGACGCTCAACCACTGAGCCACCTAGGCATTCCTGCAGTTACAGTTTTTTAAATGAAAATCTGTTTGAGATCTTCTATGTCTTTAATGATTTTAGAGGGGTCTAGATCTATTAATTACTCAAACTGTGATTGTGCAGTTGTCCTGTTCTTTCAGTTTTTTTTTTTGAAGCTCTATTAGGTGCATACACATTAATGACCCTTATGCTTTCATCCTGATGAATTGACTCTTTGTCAGTGATCTCTTTGTATCTTTGCCCTGAAGTCTTTGTTATTTATTTAAACGCTTGAATCTTATGCTTACCATTTGCATGGTATAACTTTTCCTTCCTTTACTTTCAGTCTGTGCCTTTATATTTAATGTGAATCTCTTAAAGACAGCATAGAATTAGATCTTGCCTTTTTTTTTTAATCGATTCTGGCTATTTTTGTCTTTTATTCAGTATAATTCAGCCGTTAGCATTAAATGCAATCCTTGCTACAATTAGATTCAGGCACCATTTAGTATTTGTTTTTTATTTGTCCCTTCTGTGTTTTGTTCCTCTGTTCTTGCCTTCTTTGGGATTAAATGTTCCAAAATGATTTCAGAATTCCACTTGCATTTATCTATTGTTTTTTTCTTTATTTTCTGCTTTTCTAGGGATTACAGTATATTCTTAATTTTTCTTAGAGTTATTGTTTGGGGTTAGTATTATAACATTTTATATAAAATATAAGAACCTTGAAACTGTATATTGCCATTTAATCCCTCCCTGACATTATGCTATAATTGTCATGTCATGTGTATTACATTTACATATTTTATTTTAAAAATCCCACAGTGAAGGGTTAGAATTTTTACTTTAAACAGTCATATATTTTTAAAACATTAAGAGAAAAATAGTCTTTTATATTAACAATTTCTGGTGCTCTTCATTTCTTCTGGATATTTGATTTTCTGGTATCATTTACCTGGAGAAATTTGTTTGGATTTTTTTTTTTTTTGTATTTTTGGTTTGCTGGGACAAATATCCACAATTGTGTCTCTATTTGTAAGTCTTTAAATTTATTTTTGTAAAGACCTATGGCCCGGATATAGAATTCTGGGTTCACAGTTGTCAGCCCTCCCTCCCCTCCCCAGCTCATTATTCTACTGTCCCCTGTCCTCCATGGTTTCTTAATAAAACATTGATTCTTATTTTCTCTATGGAACGTGTTGAGTTTTTTTCTTCTTTTAAAAAATGTTTCCTTATATTTTATTTGGTTTTCAGCAGTTTGTGTGCACCTGGATATAGGTTTTTTTTAAAAAAATTTTATTTATTGCTGAGAAACACAGAGAGAGGCAGAGACATAGACAGAGGGAGAAGCAGGTTCCTCACAGAGAGCCCAATTTGGGACTCAATCCCCAAACCGGGATCATGCCTCGAGCCAAAGGCAGACACACGCTCAAATCGCTGAGCCACCTAGGTGCCCCTGGATGCAGCTTTCTTTGCACATACCCTCTTTGGGTTTTTCTGGGCTTCTTAAGTCTGAACATTGGTCTTTCATCCAAAGTGGGAAATTTTCATTTCTTTCTTTCCTACATTTTTCTCTCTTTCTTTGCCTCCTGAAGCTTTAATAATACAAACCTGTGCTCTTTTGTTAGTGTCCCACAAGACCCTGCTGATCTGTTTCTTTATATTGGATTTTCCTTTTTACTTCCTTAAACATATTTGTAATAACTGTTTTAACACCATTGTAAGCTAATTACAACACTTGGGTCAAATTTTCTCTTGAATATAGGTTAGATTTTCCTGCTTGTTCGTATGTCAAGTAATTTGGGTTTTATTGAATTTTCTTTGTGAATGATACTTTGCATAGGCTCTATTCTGTATGTTCCTTCAAAGAGAATTGATTTTTTTTTGTCTTAACAAGCAGTTAATTTGGCTGAACTTAAAACTAAATTTTGACTTTTCTTTGGCAAGTGTCAGTTCCACTGATCTATTCAGAAAGCTAATATTGAATATGTGCTGTGTGTCATGCACTAAAATAGGTGACTATGCTAAAAATAAAAATAGACATGGACTCTAAACTCAAGGGACTTACAGTCTAGCTGACAGAGATAGGAAAGTGAACAAATAAGCATGATAACTTTCTGTACGTCATTGAGATAATACCTGGAGGCAGTAGGGTTACTGAGAAAGGAGTTGTGAAATAGTTAAAATCCAATTTAAAAATTATTTTTAAAGCAACTCAATCCTTCTGAGAACAGGAGATAGTTTATTTATTATATGTCATGATGATGAGAAATTGGCTGATGAATAACTAATTAGTTACACTGTCATCCTTTTGTTAATTCTTTGACAAAAAGGACATGTTTCAAAAGCACATATTGTGGGGAAGCAGTATTAAAAATAAATGTTTAAATTCTGAACTGCCATAAAAAGTAGGAGGAATACTTTGGTAAAAAAAAAAAGCATGATTTGATAAAATCATCTAAACAAACAATACAAATGATCACAGATTAGGGAATATTAGATATTGCTGAGTTTTTAAAGTCCGATCTATACGAAAAGTACCACTGTTGGGAGAAAGATATTTCAAAGACCATTTTTACTAATGGAAAATATATCTTAAAAACCCCTAAGTTTCATATGTCAAAAAGCAAAGCAAAGAGGTTGTTTGTTTATACTTATACCTGTACTTATATCTGAAAAAATGAATGGGTAATGTGAGGTTGGTTTTTATATTATAAAAAACATTTACCTTAGCAGTAATTTGAGCCTTTTTTCCTCTTTTTTCCCTGTTTTAACAGTGTATCCTATTCAGTACATGTATCTGAAGATTACCCAGGTATGCTTTTCTTCTTTCTATTTTTATTACAAATACTTGTGTCATGATGTCTTTGAATATTTTTTTCTTCTGGAGATGGAAAATGTATATAAATATATCTAGGAGTGAAACGTTGGCAAAAGACTTGAAGATCTAGAGGAATTCTTCATTTGGTTGCCTGTGAAATACATGTCTTACCCTGAGATGCAGTCCAGAATCAAAATAGTTTCCCGATGAAAAGTCATTGACTTGAGCCCATGTGATAGGTTCAGCCTGTATATATTTATCACATTATAAGTAAAACAAATTCTTTGAACTGATTTAGTTGTTGGATTTGGAACATCATTTAGCTCTTCATGACATAAATACAACAGGTAAGAATAACAGCTAAAATAATAGCTAAAAATGGGCCTGTCTTCATTTTTCTAAGTAGTATAATTAAACAATTCTCATAATAATTCCTATGAGATTGTTACCATAACATCATCATTCTACTCATGAACGATGATACATCTAGTAAGAGGAAGAGCTGGGACTTGAACCCAGTAGTCCAGAGCTGATGAACTGTACCACTGGACTAGACTAGGTATCTTGTATATGCACAGCTATTCTCACTGTGTCGGTCTCCTGAAATATATTACTAGGCCCACAAACACTTGTCCCTAGAAGACAGAGTGTGAGAACACTGCAGATCCATCTTTCTGTAAATCAAAAATTCTTCCTCTAGGCCATGGTCAGTCCTGTTTTCTAGACACATGTCATCTCATAGAGCCCCGGCTGCAGATGCCAACATGTTAGTCATGGCAATTTGAAGATACAAACAAGATGTTCCTCTTTAGTATTTTCCTCACAAGTGATATCTATAATTTTATCTTGAATAAGAGCATTAATTATTGTAGACTTAGTACAGAAAAAAATATAACTTGTTTAGTTTACATCAGAGATAAGAGTATAATGCAGGAATCTATTGTTTATCATATCTCGTGGCAAAGAACAGCAAGGTTTAACTGCTTATATTTCATATATATTACTCCAGTATTCTGACTTCATAAAATCATATGGTCACCAAACTAACTATTGCGGTCTGCCAGTGTCATAAATTGAAATAAATTCTTATTTAAATCTAGCCATTTTATTCACATACTCTGCATGATTTGGATCATATTTTTCTATGTAAAATGACTAGGTTGCTATAAGTAACTTTGATTATTTGTACTTTGAGTATTTTAAAAAATAATTAGTTCATAAGGTAGTATGAAGGTGTAAAACGTATTTCTTCAGCATTTAGGCTAGTATTTTTTGTGGCAGTTTGTATCATGCATATAATTTTTTTTAAGATTTTATTCATTTATCCATGAGAGACAGACAGAGAGAGAGAGAGAGAGAGAGAGAGAGAAAGAAAGATATATATATATATATATATATATATATATATAGAGAGAGAGAGAGAGAGAGAGAGAAGAGAGAGAGAGAGAGAGAGAGAGGCAGAGACACAGGCAGAGGGAGAAGCAGGCTCCATGCAGGGAGCCCGACGTGGGACTCGATCCCGGGTCTCCAGCATCAGGCCCTGGGCCAAAGGTGGCGCTAAACCGCTGAGCCACCCGGGCTGCCCCCATATAATTTTTTTATACGATCAAATGTTACATTTCAAAATAATTTTGTAGGGGCACCTGGGTGGCTCAGTCTGGGAAGTCTGCTTTTGGCTCAAGTAATGATCCTGGGGTCTTGGGATCAAGTTCTGTGTGGGGCTCCCTGCTCAGAGGAGAATCTGCTTTTCCCTCTCTCTCTGCCCCTCAACCTGCTCATGCTCTCTCTCTTTCTCACTCTCTCTCAAATAAATAAATAAATCTTTAAAAAAAGTACCATGGTTAACATTTAAAAAAATAAAAATAAAAATGAAAATAATTTTATAAATCAAAAACTTCCTTATAATTATTTTACCATGATTGCCATATGTGTTAAACATAGTGTTCTTTAAGACTATTCTGCAGTTTTACAAGGGGAGTTACTCATTATTAAAGAAATACTTATTTTTTTAATGGTATAAAGAGTGTTCTAGGCAGATTTCACTGGAAGAAGCACGACAAAATATTTTTGAAGAAGAATTTTTGTGGATGATTTTGCAGTCAGCTCTCTCCATTATGATACTATGTTTTTGATGCTGAACGTTTGCTAAGTATGTTAGGAAAATAAGTTAACCTCACTAGTTTTTAACTATTGTAATTATTGTGCTTCTCATCTTAGGCAGCTCCTAGAGATGTCAATCATGAAAGAACTTTAAGTCAGGGTGATAGAAATAATGCCACAAATCAAAACTCACCTCAGAGACAGTTAAGTGAATTGTTCTTGTAGCACAGGAAATAGGGCTGAAAGATGCCTTTAGTAAACCAAGTGAACCAAATGTTTTGCTCCCTCTTGTGGCCAAGAGGTATCACTGACTTTTTCTTGCCTTGCAGGAGGGAGACCCTCTTGGAAATGCAATATACAAAACTTAAAACTTAAAACTAAAACACTGGTTATATCATTTGTGCTTTTTATAAAACAAATTCCCATTATGGAGAAAGTCTGTAGCAAATTTGCCATATAATTTCATTTCTAAAAATAAAGGAAGTGTAAATAAAACACAAGTATGGGTGAGAGAGATTAGTGCATTTTGGGGTAGAATTTTGGATTGGTTGCTGGAACCAGTGCACTGTGTACCAAGTATTTCCATATACATATTGAATTGACTCTAAATACCAGCCTGTGTATAGACAGAACAGAGGCTTTCATGACATTTTATACTTGAAGAAATATGTCAAGACAGGTTAAATGGTATTTCCCAAGGACATGTAGTTTGATGGCAAAACTGTCTGTAATTTGGTTCTGATTTCTATCACTTCTAGGAGAAAAGTAGTGGTAGTATTTTTATGGAGCTTTCTTCAAAGTGAATATTACCATGGTAATATTTCCTTCTTATTAAATTTTAATCTACATTTAGTTGTACTAACAGTTCAGTTAATACACTTGATTTCTCAGGTAGATAATATTGTATAAAAATTATTTGTTTGCTCTCCCTTTCCAATATTCATCCTTGTGTTTTTTTCTCCCATTACAATGCTAGAGCCTCCAGAATAATTTTTAATAATTGATATGAAAGTTGGCAGCTTTGTCCTTTTTTCCAGAATTAGTGAGCACAGTTCCATCTGCTTTCAGGAAACTGCTTTTCTCATTTACCAAGCTCTTTTAAAATTTCATTGTAAAGAATGAGTATAAAATCTTTATTAAATTCTTGTTTAACATCTGTTGAGGTATCATATGTGCTTTCCCCTTTGACAACAAGGTGACAAGTTATTTTATTAGCAGGTATGTTAATGTTCATCTGTAAGATACATTTTGTCATACTTTGTCATTAAAGACTTGACATTATACCTACCTACTTGGCATTCGACAGAACGTGCAAGCAAATCTCTCTGAGCCTAGTATCTTTTTAGGGATGGTTCTGGGATTAATAATTGTTATTTTTCTGCTCTGTTTATTATCTGTTCTGATTTTCTACCTCTTAGGCATGTTTAAGCATGTGTTCTTCTTGAAATTTACTATGTTGGTGAAATGTGCAACTTTTTCAGCAAAAAGTTGTGTATAGTATTCATTATATACATCTGAAAACCTACTGCATCTCTGTGGCGATTTCTCCTTTCTCATTTCTCTTGTTTTATATTTGTTCTTGCCTGTTTTCCACCTTTGATTTTTCTTCCCCAGAGTTTTACCCATTGTAAAATCCTTTCAAACAAGTAGTCTTTTTACTTCATTTTTAATTTCTAAATGCAGTAATCGTGATAGTACTTTTGTTAATTACTTCTGCTAATGTTCCTTAGTCTTTTTTTTTTCTCCTACTTTTCCTGGATTATATGGTTGAGTGATTAGTTCATCATCCACATTTGAAAATTTGGAACTTTCTGTGCCCTATGGAAACATATGAGCATAATCCTTCAAATTCGGGATTATGTCACCCTGTTTATCTCCTTAGGAATGGATTTATCATCTTATAATTTTAATCTGTTAAGTAACTTGTGCAATCTATTGAAATTCATCATAGTTTGGTTTTCGTGAACAAAGAGATTCTTAATTGAGCCTTAGGTATTCCTTAAATAACATGTATATAAATGCAATGCTAAATGATATGTTGGCTCTTTAAAATAAAGTGAAGAAATAGAACAGCCTTCTGGTTTACTTGTACTTCCTTATGTCATTTATACTGTAGACAGATTCTTGCTTTTTGAAGGTAAGTATATATTACAAGTCACAGATAATTGGCTCTGCTATAATAGAACAGCAGAGTTTTTTCTCATTAGTTCCCACCTTTAATTAGTAGGCTTACCTACTGGTGGGTGTGAATTCTCTCATAGCTTTTATATGTTTTACAACATACTGCTACTGTCGAATGACAATTTTTTAATATTAAAAAAGCATAGCAAACATCCAGTTTCACCACTTACAGTCATGTTAATTTTAATTATGTAAATAATTTGGGCAAATTGCTTAATTTCTCTGAGCCTTGGTATCCCTATCTTTAAAATAGGAATAATAATTGATTGGCTTGAAGGTTGACATGCAGTACATGAATATTAATATTTAACATTCAGGGGAGAAATCCAGATTATATTATAAAACCAATAAAATTACTTAAGTTACGTAGTGATGAATAATGAGGTGACTTGGCCTAAATTATGTTGCATACGAAATGGGATGAAAATAATAGTTTAAGAGATAGTTTTTCATAGCTTTCCACCCATCTCTCCCCAGTTGTCCATGGAGGCTCCCGTAATGCTTGCGTAGTCTGGTAGGGCGGAAAAGAGAAAATATTCGTACTGTTAACAGCCTTTAATAAAGATCCTTAGGTCATCTACAAAACTTACACATTAAAAACCTAACTGTCCCCAGAAGTTTCAAAAAAAGAAAAAAATTGGCATCCCTGGAGTCAAGTGGTAGGATTCCAAAGAAGGAATTTGAGTTTGAAAACATTCTATTCTGTCACTGACTCATTCTGTTACCTTAAATGCATTCTTATCCTTTATATGGCCTACTTTCTCATGTCTAAACAAAGATGATGTTATTATTACAGATGTCAAAATAGTTTGAGGGAGGTTTGGAAATGGTTATTTAAGCAACAAGAAGAAAAGAAAACAGAATTCATTCATACAGCTGGGACAATCCTCACAGCGCATCAGCAAATCTCCCATTTTTAGAACTAAGCTGACCGTGGCTTAGTTAAAAGCATTCATTAGCTAGTTGATAGTTGGGTCTAGATTTTATGTGCTTTGTCCACGTTCCTACATTTGTGTTCTTTGCTTGGGTATACCTCTTTGATCTGGCCTATTATGTTGTAATGATGATTTTATAGATGATGTCTTGAAACCTGAAAACATTTTGGGTCCGGTAAATTAAGCCAGAAACAGAAGTTGAGAGTGTTCTAATGTCTAAATACAGAACAAAACACAAACTGGCAGAAAATTTCTTAGAAAATGATGTTTGCATAATCCTGTCTTCCTGCATTATGCAACATGTATTCACCAAATTATATTCTCTTGAATCAAAGATGACTGCCTTCCAGTATCAACCCCACATAAACCATTTGATCCTTTAAATTGCATTATTCAGTTTCCTGTTTGCATAAACAGGAAGTCCTAATTTAATACTCACCTTTTGAAGCTGTAGTAAAAATCCTCCTTGTCCCATGACACTGAAATATGCATGATACTGTGTCCACTTTATGGATTTTTCTGGATCTCCCCTTGTAGTTGGTGGTCAGCGATTACTTCTGTTGCTTCAATCCACACTTCTAATACTCCTCTTCTCCGTAAATTTGCTTCATGGAATCCATTGTGCACAGGGACAGTCTAATTCAGTTGATTCAGTAGCACAGTACTTGGAATCAGTAAGACTCTGAATGTGGGTTTAAGAAATTTAAAAACTAGCTTTAATAGAGGGATTTTGACCCCCTACCACAGAGTATTTGGTTACTGACAAAAGAGACTCCAGATAAAAGGTCGAAGTCTCAGTCAGTATGATGAGACAATAATTAAAACAAGTTTATATTAAATATACTTCTTAATCTGTGGTCCCACTTGATAAATAAAATCTCACACCTTCCTTGATGCTATTTGAAAAAATAAGGCAAAATTTGCAATTAAAGTAATGAGGCGAACTTGCTTTGTTTCAAATCTAATCCACACTATTGTTCTCTTACTTTCCAGAATAACTGTGAAAGCCTTATGTCTGTTGAGCATCTTTTGTGGCTATGCCATGACTACATATCACTCACACTGACTTACTACTGTAGGTCTAAAAACAGTGCAGATGTTTCTTTGGAAATAAAGTAATGACTTTGATATTTATCAATTAAAAATCATGTTCTCAGTGTACTGACACAATATTATGAAAACTTGGCTCAAGATCTTTTATCATGTATTCAGACAGTTGTCAGAATACTCATTTCCTTTTGCCGAAACTGATACAGGTTTCTATTATTTGTTGGGAATATTTTACACTTTTTATTTTTATATTTTATACAACATTGATAAGAGTATTATAGGACCATTATTAATGAACTGGTGAAGTTTTTGTTAAACAGATCTCTCACGGATGCCCTGTAATCCTCAATGAACAAAGTAGAATAAATGGCTTTGTGTTGTATTACCATGTATATGAAGGTCTGTATTTATTAGGGAAAAGTCCTAAATTTATAAAATATGCTTTTCAACGAAAACAAATAATGAATAAAAATATTAAGTAAGCTGTGGAATAAATATTCTATGAATTCAACTTGTATAGTACTATTTAATGAAATTCATGGAAGAAGAGTTGTGAGACTTTATCAATTTAAAAATGTATCTTAAAGTAATATGGAGGCATGACTTTCAACAAAAGCTTTAGTTCAAAATTTTTAATGACTTGATATTGAATTTGTTGCAGCAAAGGTTCTTGTTTAGCTTTCTCCTTCCAGTCACTAACCTGCTTCTATTAGCAGATACTAATAATGGGAAGGACCTGTTCAGTGAGTTGGGGCAACCAGTTGCATCCAAATGATCTGTTGTCACATGGGATCTTAGAGATATATTTGGGTAATAATTTCTATCCAAAGTGTCTAAGCATCTTTAAAGAGGCCATTTAAAATTAAGTCACACATAAATCTGAAGTATACATAATTTTTTTCTGAGATTTAAAGACACAGTAACTTGAAAAAATATACCCTTTATCAAAAAAATGAAGTTATATCCACATCACTTCTACCACTCGTGAAGCTCATGCTACTACTCTGATTACTGTGCCTTTAATTGTCCATATTTCTTTGCAGATAATACATATGTGTCAAGTTCAGAAAATGATGAAGATGTATTAGTTACCACAGAGCCAATTCCAATAATTTTTCATCGAATAGCAACAGGTAATATGAATACACTATTTTTTAAAATTATGGGTTAATATTTTCTTGACTGTAGGTAACTTTATTTTTTTTTGTTTCTTTTAGCTCATGTAACAGATATTTATCTTTGGAATCTATAAATCTGGTTCCCCATATAAATTTTCTATTTAATTTGTGTTTGCTTGTTTACAGTTTTTTAAACACAGAAATTTACAGTACTTTAAAAAAGTCCTGTTTAAATGCATTATATTGATATTTGCTCTTATGAAAATATTCCATACATAATGGCACTTCTAGACAAACTGAATATTTAAAAAGTTTACTCAGAGGAGACAAACTGTAAGAGGCTCTCTTAATCATAGGAAACAAACTGAGGATCGATAGAGGGTGGTTGGGGGGATGAGGTAACTGGGTGATGGGACATTAAGGAGGGCATGGGAAGTAATGAGCATTGGGTATTATATAAGACTGATGATGAAAAAAAAAAAAGGCTGATGAATCACTGACCGCTACCATGGAAACAAATTGAATTAAAAATAAATAAAAATAAATAAAAATAAAAAGTTTACTTGGGGCAGTGTAGATCCCAGGAAATATATAATGAGAGCTGAAGGAGTCTGTATAAGTGGCACTTTAGTTTGACCATATTTTTATGGGCAGTGAAAGACTTGTATATCACATAACTTCCCAACATAATATAATTTCAAAATATTCCTTAATTTTCTTGCAAAAGGAGAATCACCTGAGGGGTGTTTTTATACTGAAACTTATGAATGTTTGGTAAATAGTATACTGAAAGTGAAATGATGTTTTGTAACTTTCTTTCAGAATTAAGGAAGACAAATGACATTAATTGTTGCTTATCCATAAAATCCAAATTACAGAAGGAAAATGGAGAGGTATGGAAATTACATTTCATATTTTACATGTATTCAAAACAGCATAGGTATATTTTAAATTTACCTTGTATTCGTAGTTAATATCATTGTTATTGAGGTTAAGATTGCATATGAAACACAAGCTCATGACTGAGAGACTTAATGTGTGGTAGTGACCTAGAATTAACTCTGAGAAAGAAGCTCCCTTTAAAATAATAGATAGAATGTCTGGTTTAAACCTAAATCAAGAGATCCCTGGGTGGCGCAGCGGTTTAGCACCTGCCTTTGGCCCAGGGCGCGATCCTGTAGACCCGGGATCGAGTCCCACGTCGGGCTCCCGGTGCATGGAGCCTGCTTCTCCCTCCACCTGTGTCTCTGCCTCTCTCTCTCTCTCTCTCTCTCTCTCTCTCTCTCTCTCTCTCATAAATAAAAAAAATTTTTTTAAATAAATAAATAAACCTAAATCAAGTACATATGAAGCTTAACGTACTCTCTGTCTGTCAAGTAAAGTAGTTGACTGAGGAGCACTTATGTAACTTACAGTTCTAACAACTATATGTGGTTATCCATAGTTTTGATGGGACCCTAACATTTCATTTGTAAAAAGTGATCTCGTTAGTGAAGGTAGCAAAGAGTGTGGGTATGTAGTCGTCTTATCATTATTGGCCAATGTTAAAACAACAACAAACTCATACCCCTTCCTCACCTTTAAAAAGTTTGCTTCAATCAGTCAATAAATACTAAATGTGAAACAAACAAAATGAGTGCAACAGGACTAACAATTATTTACTGTTAAAACTATGCATCCAGTACAACCCTCCCTTCTAGTGTTGTATCACTATTCTTCTTTATCCACGAGAACCACCGATCTAGCAATACTGCAGCTAAAACCAAAAACTTCTCATTTTATAAAATCCAAATCCCCTTTTGTAGGTTTTTATTTTTCTGTAAGAACTTGAAATTTGTTCTAGAAATTAAGGGATGCTTCCAAAATGTTGGATTAATAGATTCCTGTGTCAAATGGAATTTGCCTTTCTCCTAATTATTTTAACAGAGCCAGGGAGAGGAATATCATCATTAGTTACTTTAGATGAGTTTTTATTGTTTGCACTTTAGAGACATAACAGATGTGGTTCAGTTCATTAGAAACTCAAACTTACAGTTCAAGCATATTTAATTAAATATCCTTTTGAAATCTAAAAGCAAATAACTTCTATATGCAAGAAGTTCTCTTCCTAATGTAATTCATATTTATTTTCATAATTTGATTTTTATATTATTGGAGTTGGAGTGCCTTTTATTTCATACCATTGTGTAGAGTTGGCAGTGGAAGTGAGAATAGTCAGGGATAAATGCTGAGGAACTTTTTAATAAAGATTGAATCAGTATGAACTTGTCAGATGTTTTATCAGAACAAAGCCAAAGTTGTAATTGATTATACATAGTTTTATACCTATATCAAATGGTTAATTTTGCAAGATAAAATCAATGAAATATAACTTATAAAAGATATCCATAGAGCTTAATACACTGACAAGCCTGTCTCTTACTACCTTTTGTTTTTGGCTTGTAACTGCACCCTAAATGTTTTATATAAAATGTTTTTTATATAAAAGTCATTTTATATACAATGACTTACCTATTATGGCCATTTGCAACTTTATTTTCAAAAGAAGGCAAGATGGTTAAACCATTAAAACTTTCTTCTTATTCTATTATTTTAAGGAGTCAAGACAAAATAGTACAGTGGAAGAAGATTCTGAAGGTGATAATGATTCTGAAGAATTTTATTATGGAGGACAGGTGAGCACATCAGGTCCTCCAGCTATCCACTCTCAGAGTTAGCAGTAGCTGCCATGTATGTCCTAGTGGTTTCCTGTGCTTGATTGAGAGACCTGTATATTAATTCTGATACTAACTTGGAAATCTGTATAATTTCTGTTTATTTATATATATATTCAGAAATTAAGATTGCTTTTGCAATTCTTTGTCATCACTCACATTGAACTAACTTCATTACAGAGATTTTGAGGACAGCATTTTATTATGTTTTTGACTTTTACATTTTTTAAGCATATTGGGGTCAGCCACTGTTTTGAAAAGATGACACTTCTAACAAAAGCATGGATAGTTAGTTTTAAATAGAACCTGATTAACCTTTATAAAAACTGATAGTCCCTAACTACTGAGCATCTTCAATATTTGTATTCATTGTCTTCTCCTTACATTGAAGTAAAGTGTTTGTTGAAGAAACGTGGTGAAGAAATATCATAATTTTTATATATGAAAATGGCATAGCCATATGTGCATGTATATAAAAGAATTCACTGTTTTTCTATGACAATGTTAGAATTATAAAGTGTGCAGTTGATTTTAGGATATGGCTGTATAAGGCATCTTGTTCTGTTTCTATAAACTACTTGATCAAATATGTTTCGTGACTTTATAGTGTAATGGGAAGGTGGTAGGTTAAAGTGGTGCTTTTTTTGGTTGCTGTTGTTAGAAAGAGAGAAGACAGAGAGTGGGAGGGGGCAAAGAGGGAGAGAGAGGATCTCAAGCACAGAGCCCAACACGTGGCTCCATCTCATGACCCTGAGATCATGACCTGAGTCGAAATCAACAGTTTGACACTTAATCAACTGAGTGAGCCAGGTAACCCTAAAGTGGTGCTTTAAAGCCAAAATTGTCATTATGTGGAAGAATGTAAGTCGGTTTACTTCTTTGGAATGAAAAATCACTAATTAGTCAATCACATATAAGCAAGGCAGTCGAGGTATGGACGTACAAATAAAAGTGAGCTACTTCTCTCCAAGAATGCCTTTCTAGCCATGGTGATGCTAATGATTGTCTAACCAGTGTTGCACTTTAACATGAGGCAAAATAATCCTTCCAGTTTTGATTTTTGTTTACACAGCTAATATTTGCAGAGGGGAAGTAAATGCTTTTTTTTTCAGTCTACGTATTCAGTCTAGAAGTTTTCAGATTATCTGCCAGCCCCTTACTGCAGCCCCTTTAACATTTGCCTTTCCCTCACATCAAAGTGGTCTAATTTTACTTTTCAAACATAATCAATTATATGAGACATTCGTAAATTTACGAACTTGAGTGAATATACTGCTGTATCCTCTAGATTTTTCAATGAAGACCACAGAGAAAATGTTCATGGCAAAACCTATGAGGGGGGGCCTGTCCAAGAGATGGTTTGCATTTGATTCTTTTGACTCTCTTCACCCCTGAGTCATTTCTAAACCATCCCTTTTCACCAGGTGAACTATGACGGGGAACTACACAAGCACCCCCAGCTTGAAGCTGATTTGTCGGCAGTGAGAGAGATATATGGGCCGCATGCAGTTTCTCTCAGGTAAATAGTACCTCTCGTGAATAAAGATTGAAATTACTTGGTACGTCATTGGGATTTTTTTTCTCTTGAGTTATTTAAGTAGAAATATTCTTGGGCTTAGTTATATTTGAAATTTGGGGAGACATTGTGCCATGTTTTTACTTTTACAAAATGGTATATCTTTGGCAGTATGCATTTTTTTGTTTTGTTTTGTTTTTGATACATGTGGTGTAAGAGTACATTGATGCATTGAAGAAATTAGTTATTTGGAGAGTTAGTTTAATAAAATATCAGTCTTAAGTAGCGTCATAATCAATTCTTGTAATAGACTTGGCCAGCTGGGCCCATGCTGTTAATCATAATCGTGTGAACAATAAAAGTAAATAATGCATAACCATTGGTGTCCAGATCACATTGTGATATGATCTGACCCCCAAAAAAGAAAGGAAAAAAAAAAGGACATAAATTTGCAGAGTATTTGTTTGAATGATAATGTAGTTTATCTTGCAGTTACTTCATACATAATTTGGTGACAAATTTAAAGACCATTATTTACCACTTTTAATTATTCAGAAGACCCCACTATCCTTCCTAACCATTTTCTCTCCTTTAATTTAAAAAAGAAACTCTTTCCTGCTACTATCCTAGTTTCCCTCCATGAGTCAGATCTGATTATTTCACATCCTTTTTTCTTTGCCTGAAGGGCAGCCTCCCAAGTTGCCAGGGAATTCCAGAACCCTGTCCCAGACTGACCGCCTTATCCTCAGCCGTCTACACCCAAACCCCACCTGACCCTATACTCCAGATGTGCCGTGTTGCCTATTGGTTTTGGGCATTTGCACAAGTTGTTTTCTTACCAAGGAGTGCTTCATTCTCAACCCTGTTGCTGTCTTTCATTCCAGCCACAGTCCAAAGGCCAGTTTCTCCCGGAGCTTTCAGCCTTTGTTGAATCTCCAGTGCAGATTAGTTTTCTGCCCTTCCCACTCCCCTTACATTTGGCTTTAACCTCATTTAAACCTCATTCTTCTTTTTCTTTTTTTTTTTAAGATTTTATTTATTTATTCATGAGAGACAGAGAGAGAGGCAGAGACACAGGCAGAGGGAGAAGCAGGCTCCATGCAGGGAGCCCGACGTGGGACTTGATCCTGGGTCTCCAGGATCACACCCTGGGCTGAAGGCAGCACTAAACCGCTGAGCTACCAGGGCTGCCCTACTTCTCAACTTCTTATGTCTTGTCATTATTAGTTTACATCTCACCCTATCGACCCTAAATTCCATGAATGCTGGGACAGTGTGCTTTGTTTGTTGTTTGCTTTACATTGTTTTGGTTTTTTATCATGCTTATATTTTGGTAATAATATAGCGCAGGAAAAATATGAAATGTGGGCTGATGGACTCTTGATTGTTTTCATTGGCATCCATGGAAGATGTTTACATTATCTGGTTATTTCCTCTTCCATTGACGTATCCAGATTTTGAGAGAGCCAACTTAGAAGTTGGGAAGTACAACATAGCTATAGTTTATAATTGTCAACTGTTTCATTTTAACTTCGGAAACAAACTCACTCAACACCTGCCACCTTAGTAATTGGGGTTGTATACACAGGTCCTGTCTCCGCCATTCTCTGGTAGGCTGCAATTGAGTGAGAGTGATTGGGATTATACTTGGAAAAGCAAATATTTGCAATTTTCAAGATTTTGGCAAATTAGCTGCAGGTATTTCTCGGTTGATCTCTGCAGTGGCTCCAGGGTAGAAAATACGGATATTCAATAAGTGTTAGAATGAATAAATGAAGAAGGCAGTAGGGACTAAACCATAAGTGGTCCAAAATAATGATTAAGTTTTTAACTTGAGTCAAAATTTGCATGACTGCTTAAAACTTTGATCACAGTGATTTAATCCCCTCCCCCACTAAAAAAATAAGTCTGGGATGCAATTAATCATACAGTACAACATATAATCTTCTTTTCATTTGAGATACCTGTTTTAGGGGATTACCTTAGCACATGTTGATTGCTTTTATAGTTAAGGATTTTTCTTAAATACGTATTTCCATGCTAAGCTCTAATTACACTGTTTTTTTGTTTCTTCAAGAATTTATTACATACCAGTGATCATCTCTATCAGTATTTTCCATTATTAATAAAATTGATAATTTACCAACTCTTAAAATTAGATAAATATTTGAAATTTCATTCAAATGAAATATCTAAAGTCATAAGTGGCTTGGATTTTTTTTCTCCTTCTCTATTTCACTTAGAAGTTTTGATTCAGTTTAAATCTTTATAAGCCATGTTCTTGCCTGCTCTAGAGTTTGTATAGCTACAGAGGATGTCTCTAGAATAAATAGCCTCCCAGAGGCCTCATGGTATAAGGTATGAATCACAGCAGGACTAGCCTGATTTACTTGGAAAATATACGAATGAACTTAATGCTTAGTATCAAATACTGAGGCTTGGGCCCATAGCAACAGGAGTAGTTAGGCATAAGGTCTTGGGATCTTCTTCCTTGCAAAGTTATAAGCCTGTTGAAAACAGACTGTTCTAATTAGCTGTTCTTTTGCTTAATTGAGGTTTATAAGAACTTAATGGAGTTTGAAGAACAAAAGTACCTCAATATGCATAATAGGCTATTTGGTGTCATTTTTTTTTATGTGACGTCTAAATGAGAAAGTCAGCTAACCACATCTAAGTTCTCTGTAAGAGATGAAAATAACTGGCAGTGCCTCACTTGTGATAAAACCTCTTAAAGTAGGTTGAAGGAGGATATAGAAACAGGAACTAATGACCAGTTTATTACTGAGGTAGGTAATTTCAGCTCTACATGGCCACATTATTCAAAAGCAGAATCCTGGCTGTATTGAACCATAGTTACAAACATTGATGACGGTTCATAGGCTCTTATGTTGGAACTGAGTTAGGTCTCTGGAGAAACATGATAAACCATCAGTTTGTCAGTCTGAATGAATATGTCTTGTCTTGAATCAAGACATGCAGCAAACTGAGGATATTTTATGTTTTTCATTATAAATTTTCTCCCAGAATCATGTATTTAACAACAACAACAAAAAATTTCATCAGTGTCATGTGAAAACAATATGAGGTTCATAGTTTTAGAAAGGTACGGGGAATTACAAGTCACAGAATATTCATTTGGTCGTGAATGAAATGATTCTGACAATTTGCTTGTGATATTTCAAACTTCTAGCCTATGTGAAATAACCTTTGCTCTGTGATCATACCATCTTCTGTTTTAAAAGTTGAAGTTGTTTGAGTAATATTCTAGCCTTTTTATTGTGACTAATGCTTAATGAAGGTTGGAAGATTGCATAATTATGACACTTCTGTACTTTGATCACCTTTTGTAGATGGACAATCATAATAGGGCCTCTTTGGAGTTGATGTTCTGAAGGACAGGGCATACTGAAGAGTTTTTAAGGTTGAGGAAGTTATGCTACTATTTTCAGGCCCACAAACCTTGAGAGAGAGAGAAAGAGAGAGTGAGTGAGAAAGAGGAAGGAATGGAAGGAGAGAGAGAAAGAGAAAGGACAAGGAAGGGAAGAAAAAGGGGGAAAAGCCACAAAAGTCCGCATGGACCACTTTTCTGGATTTCTGTATTTCTGTCTGTAGTGACAGTAGGACCACTTCCAGATCTTCTGGCTCCTGTCCTCTGGCATATGGCAGCATTTTATTTCCCTGCCCCTTTTAATGTCATGAGTGGACACAGCTAATTTTGGCCAGTGAAATGTAAGTGTAAGTACTAGGACATGAGCTCCTGTTGCTGCTGGACTCCATCAGACTGGGTCCTTAGGGAACACAGTGAGTAGCATCTCCCCTCCCGCTCTTTGAGTCCTTAGTAAATATGTTGTGGTAGTGAGATATAGATCCTTTTATGTGTTAAACCACTAAGATTTGAAGAATTTTGTTAGTCCAACATAACTCAGCATCCATTGAAGTATGTCATTCATCAAAAAATCTGGAGCTAGATATTTGTAGTGCCCTTTCCCGCATATCGATTCTCCCACTCCTGCTTCTAGAGCCTACAGAAAAATGGTCTGACTCAAAACCAAGGGAAAGTGATGACAGGAAGCACATGGAAGAAACAAAAGGGAGACAGTTCTCCAAAAACACTGGCCCATAATCTAGATGAAAGCTTCAGAATGTCAGATCCCAGACAGTCACCCCTGTTCCCAATGTCTGTTCTTTCTTCAAGCAAAACCCAGGATTTTTTCAACGGAGGGGAAGTTGTAGCGACCGTACCTCTTATACACTGTCATTTGATATGGGCTTCCTTTTTTATCTGGATCTCCTTTTTAAAATTCTTCTCAGTCCTGTTGCCTTTTCGAGAAACTTCAGAGCACTTTGGATACAGTGTTGCCAGTGCTTTAATCTACCAAGATTTCTTTCTGAATACTGAGTTTGCATAATTCTTGGCCCATTCACTAACATCTCTCCCACACTGAGCAGAAAACACACATTGAGTAGGCATGCAGAGATAGACAGGCAAGCTGTTGAGTTTCAGGTGTCATAGAAAGTGTCTGTTTCCTCACAAAATAGATTTCTTCTCAAAATATAACTGACCAGTCACTGAATACAAGAAATAACTAAGTAGCAATAGTTTTATTTCCCAGTAACCTATGGTAGAGTTTCATGTTTATGTCTGTATGTGTAATTTCCTTGACAGCTAATAAGGGAAGGCTAGGTATCTAAAAATATTTTTATAACCAGTACAGTCATTGCTGATTTTCATCAGGTAGCGTTATAAAACATCACAACAGTATAACAAATAAGCCGTAGTTTTTTTTTTTTTTTAAGCCGTAGTTTTATAGAGAAAGGAGGACCAGCAGAGATGGGTTAACATTTACTATACTGAGAGTATTGACGTTGTGTCTCATTAATGAGGATGTTATCTTGATTAATTCCATTAAAAAATAGGAGAAAAAAATTGCCAAGAATCCTAACACATAGTGCCCTCAAAAATACATGTTCATAGAAAAATACATTTCATACATATGCTGTTAAATGAACTAGGTCACGCATAAATATCCAAAATCAAATGACCAAATTTTAAGATATATTGATTCAAACAGTAGCTCAGATGTCTGGAAGAAAATTTGTCAGGCCGTCCTTTGTCAGTTCCAGGGTGTAACAACTACATCAGATCATTTCTATGTTGTTCCCCTTATCTTGAAAAAGTACTCAGGTTCAATTTGATGCAGTCTTTTCACAGTGAATAAATATAGTCAGTGCATGAAATTATTTTGAGTTATTATAAGCCCAATACAGCATTCAGGACACAATCAGATATCTGGCTTCACAATTCAAGTTGCATTCATATTTCAGGCTTTTGACTTGATTCTGCATTTGCTATTCATGAGATCCGGGGCAACTGAAAGTTATTCAGATATAGAAGCAATCCTGATGACTGGGTCGCTGCATCTGGACAAACTGTAATCACGCTTTGTAATCTCGCAGTGGGAAATGTGAAATTACTGGCATTATATAAAAAGGGCATCACAACGGAAATTGGTTTGCATATACGCAGCGCTGTTGTGAATTCTTTGAAGTGTGACATAAAAACAAAAAGTGTAACTATTTACAGATCTACACCTGCAGAATCCAGTTAATTACAAACCTTTAATGCCTCCCCTCCTTAAAATTCTGTATTTGTGTTCTTTGTTTGTGCTCTGCTGTGGTGGGTAGAGCACGTAAATCTTTATTTCCTTGTTGTTGTTGTTGTTGTTGTTGTTGAAATAAATTGATAGTATTAGAAATTTGACACAAAAGTGTTGAAGAAATTATAAAGAAAATACCTTAAAATTCACATATTAAAAGTTTTAAAAGAATACATGTCACTTTCTGATTGTAACTTTATGATAAATTCTGTTGAAATAATCTGAGAAACTAAACTCTGAACAAAACAGCTGTGGGTAAGGTTCTTACTGATTTTTGTTGTCTCTGATTTCCTTCTCTCTGCCTCTGATTGCACCAAAGTCTTGCCATTTTAACTAAATACAAACAAAAATTATTCTCCCTTGTGAAACTGGCAATGACCAGGTGGAAACGAGTGCTTGGTAATGATGGGGATATGGGAAGTGGTCACTGTGATAACCTGGCTGGTATGATAAGAAATGGTCATAACCTTTTAAAATGGTAATTAAATAACATATATTAAGACTCCCAAATATAATTATATTATTTATTTCATGCAGTAATTCTAGTAGAAATTATTCTATGAGAAGACAGATGCACATAGATTTTTTATCCAGAGACCTTTTTATCAATATTTACAGTGTAAAAAGAATCAACAGCAACCTAATAATTGTATAATTGTTATATTATTAAATATCAATTGTATTTATACAAGTAAAACCATTTAAATCTATGATTTTGAAGAATATTTAGTAATATAGAAAAATACTCATTTTAGAAGAAGTGAAAGAGCAGGACAAAGAATTTTATATACCATATTTTCTTTATATATATGCATATATATATATACACACATATGGAATGAAATATAAGCAAAGATAATTCTCTCTGAGTGATACAAGTTGCTTTTTGTGTGTTTTTCTGTTTCTGACATTTTATAAAATAAGCTTATATTACCTTTGTAATCAGAAAAAGTAGATATGTTTTTAGAAAACACATGACATTTTTTTGTAAAAAGAGTTTTACCCACAATCTATAGTTAATAAATAAGTACTTTAGAAAAGGCTTTTTTGGTTTTTCTATTTCTATTTTATTTAAAAAGAGCATTTCAGTTTCCATACATTTTTGGTACTCTGCTTGCTCCAAACAGTGTATTTAGGAACATATCCCTCGGGATAGTAAATATTTTTATATCAACTTCCTTAGTAATGGGTAAAAAAAAATTTTATTGTAGAAGTGTACTATAGTTTACTTAAGTATTTCCTTATTATTTAACATTCATTTCTGTCCCCAATTTCTGCACTCACCGACATCCTTCTTCACAGAAGTCTACACGTATTTGTTACAATTTTCACCCCACTTAAATGTCTATTGAACATCATTAGTAATCAATCCTCATCATTACAATTAGTGATTCTTTCTTTTAATTTGCCTAACACAAAAGATGTTTGACTTTTATATTTATGAATAATTTGCTGATGTTCAGATCTAATTTGCTGATGTTCAAGATCAGCAAATTTTGATCACTGGGTCATGGGGACCATTTTTGAACAGCCTCTGAGATACAGATAGGGTTTGCTTTTTTAAAAGGGTTTCAAGAAAAACAAAAACAGAGGAAGATGTGACAGAAACCAGAAAAGGCCTGAAAAGGATAAAATACTATCTTGACCTTTACAGGAAAATCTTGCTGACCCCTGCACCGGAGGCATAAAAGAGATGGTTTATTTGCCTGGTCCTTATTCTTGGCACAGTGTCTGTATAATTTCGTAAATAAATTGGCATATTCTTATATCTAAATTTGCATATCATATCATGTCTAAATTTGCATAAGGTTATAAGTGTTCTTATCCTTTATGAATAACACAGATGTTTTGAGACATGCAGTGTTTTTAAAAAATCAGTTCCTATGTGGATAATTTTTATCCCTGTTCTTCTTCATATAATCTAAGAATATTACCATCAAAGAATAAAAAGTACGATTTCATAAATAGTGAAGATTGGTCAGTGTTTTGATGCATGTATTTTTTAAAGTTTTTAAAAAAGATTTGTATCTATTCATTTGAGAGAAGAGCACAAGCAGGGGGAGGGGCAGAGGCAGAGGAAGAAGCAGACTCCCTGCTGAGCAGGGAGCCTGATGTAGGGCTCCATCTCAGGACCCTGGGATCATTACTGACCTGAGCCGAAGGAAAACACTTAACCAACTGAGCCACACAGGTGCTCCTTTAAGTTTTTAGAAAAATTTTAAAAGATTTTTATCTATTCAAGAGAGAGGAAGAGTGCATTAGAGGGGGGAGGGGCAGAGGGGGAGGGACAAGCAGACTTCCACCTGAGCAGGGAGCCCTGTTTTTATATATTTTTTAAGGGGACTGTGGAAAAAAACACAAAGGCTGAGTTCTCTATTCTAACATGCTGCTTTTTGTGTTTCATAGACATTAAAATTCCAAAACCCCCTTCAATTCCTTCATCAAATTACATAAAACAATTTAATCATCAAAGGTGTCTTCTCTGAATCCTTTGCAATTGCCACAGTTTTGTATGATATAGCATTACTTGACTATGTAGCACACAGAAATTGTCTTTGAGGACTATGTGCCAGATACTGTCCTACACACAAGAAATTGAACAGGAGTTCAATGCCTGACTTCCCTACTGACTTATCGACTCTTTGGCATCCTATTACAATTCTCTAAACTTTAGTTTCCTCGTTTGCGAGTGAGGGTAGTAATAGTATCCTTGTCATAAGGCTCTGACGAGAACCTAATGAGACCATCCATTAATGTCTGACCTGGTTTCCTGCAAAATGGTAGTTTATTGTATGTTGAACCGATTAACAGCCTGCGTAAATAAATGGGATGTGTGTGTGTGTGTGTGTGTGTGTGTGTGTGTGTGTGTTTAAATCTTGACTCTGCTACAGAGTGATAATGAGTAAGTTACTTTATTACTCTGGGCTTCAGTGAATGCATATAAAAATTAAAGTGGTAGTGGTACCTATAGTAACTATGATTATATGTGTGTGTAAAATTCTTAAAATAACTTCTGGCTCAGACTTAATGAATGTTGGCAGTTAACTTTTATCATTTCAGTTATCTCTATAATTGTATCCCTCACCGTGGATAGCATTTGTCAGTTCATAATTTTATAAAAATATAAAAAATATAGATATGTGTAACTAGAGAATATGAGAAAACTGTTGTTTTTGTGTTCTTTCATTAACTTTTAAAAAGTATGCTGGTTTATGACACCATCTGGCCTGGAGAAAAGTTGGTGTTTAGAATGTCTTCATGTGGCACATACTGTTGTGATTTGTTTTAATTTTGATATAACAGACTTTTAGAGCTGCCTATCAAAACACAATGACATTTAAGTGGCAGAGCACATGGATCCGGTTCAGAACCAGTGATGTTTACCATGGAAGGGGAAGTCATAGGCACATCATTTTGACAGTGAATTATTTCCCCACCCCTTCCTCATGTTGGAAACTCCTTCTCTTGCCCTTTGAAAGTAGCTCTTCCTCTTCAGAGAGCGCAATGAAAACCAAGTGATCATATGAGAAGATGGTTGAATTTGCCACAGAGAACTGGGGATGTTTGAGACTATGAAGCAAACAATTCTTGAATTTATGTATGCAAATGCATGTATATAAAAATAGATGTCTAGATGATATAAAAAGTCACAGAAGATGAAAATCCACTACATGGGGCTAGTTAATTCAAGTCACCAGTCAGTTCTGAGCTCTGTAGAGGTCAGGGATAAGAGTTAGTAATTGAATCTTTTACTTAAACTAGCACACATTATCTTTTAAAAATGGAAAAATAAGTGTTAATCTTTGCTTTCAGGGAATATGGAGCCATTGATGATGTAGATATTGATCTGCATATTGATGTTAGCTTTCTGGATGTAAGTATCAATTTACACAATGTGATTGGTACATTCAAAAACATTTATTTTTATTGTTGGAAAAAATTAAATACTTGTTTCTTTTATGTTATTAGTAACATGCTGATTTTGTTACATTGATTAGAAATGCTATGGTTGAAGAAACAAATTTTATATATTTATTTTTTACATTGGTTCTTTTAATATATTTTAATATATTTTGAAATTTATGGACTCTTATTATAGTACTTCGTTATTTCTTAAAATTTCACTTTAATTTTCCTATGTAGAAGGCAAAAACTGAGAATGCTTTGACATTCTTTTCCAAATCAATAGATCTTGAGGTAATTTTTATGAGCCTTATTGATTTATGTATTTCTTTAAAATAAATTTACAATTTTTTTCATTTTGGAAAAAAAGTCAAGAATGCTAAAAGGTGGCTCATCTTTTAATATATTTGCACAGGAGGAGATTGCTGTGGCTTGGGAAGTGATTCGAACAGAACCTATAATTGTCCGACTACACTGCTCACTAACACAGTATTTAAATGGCCCAGGTTAGTTTTGTTTCTGTTTGTTATTTTGAATATGAATTAATTGTGCATTGTGCATTAAACAAAATGTTCATTTGGTAATTCTGAGCATAATTGCAGCTATCTTGATAATGGTATTTAAATATACTGGCATCCTTACAAAGATGGTTTATTGTCAATATAACTTAGGGAAACAGAAACATACAGGATTAGATTGTATAGATTTCAGAAGTTGACAAGTTGATGTGAAACAAGCAGAATAGAACCTACAAGAGAACTTTGCATATAGTAGAAGCTCAGCAAGCATCTTTTGGGTTACCCTTAGATTTAATTATTTATGTCTCTGATTCTGAGATTTAATTTTAATGTTTACTTCTCCCTCCTTTGATTACTGATGAATTTAGCCTAACTATAAATATAACATAGTTATATTTCTGAAAATGGAGATCTTCGTAATATTTTCGTTTCCACCATCTTGAGGGATGATTTTACTATATCTCAAGTGATAACTATTTACAGCAAAGGATGCTATTATTTAATCTTTCCAAGACTTACTGGATTAAGATATTTTCCCCTACCAAATACACATGTACATGATTGTGCACATGCGCACACATACACCCCCACCCCCCACACACAAACTGTATCTACTCATGTTGCTCTAGCTATATACTTCTAAATAACAAACCACCCCAAAACTTAGTGGCTTAAAACGACCTACCATCTCTCACTATTCTTTGAGCTCAGCTGAGTTCTTGCTTGGAGTTCTTGCCATGCCTTTGAAGTCAGATGGTAGGTGGAGCTTATGTTTTTTAAAGCCGCTACTAGGCTGGATGCTCACAATGCTGGACTTTGAGATATCTCACAGTTGATGTATATGCCATCTTGGAGCTCAGCTGCAGCCTCTTGACTTGAGTGTTGACTTTACACATGGCTTCTTCATGTGGTTCAGGCTTCTTGTAGCATGGTGACTGAGGGCTGAAGGCAAGCGTTCCAAGAGACAGGCTGTGGATGCCATCTGGAAAACGGCCCAGTGAATCTTCCATAGTATTGTATTGTTCAAAGTGGTTGAAAAACCCACCCAGAATCAAGAGATGTAGACATAGATAACACCTCTTGAAGTCATAGCTATCTTCACACATTCTTTGTGCTCTACAGAGCTCTCTGTACTCTGATTTTAGTATGTTTTTCTTTATAGGCATATTAAGGAAGTTACGTCGACTATTAGTTTTTACACAAGAAATATTCCTGACCTTCCAAGTTTATGAAATACATAGGAAAATCTCTCATTTTGAAAAAATTTCCGTTGAGTCACCTCTTTTCTATTTTTGTAGAATGATTTCTACTTAAATAATCAACTCTTAACATAAACAACATGATATGACTTAATGCCAGGCAAACACAACTAAATTTTTATTGTGATTATTTCAAATGGATAGAAATGTAATGGAGAAGAAAAAGAATTGCTCATAATCCCTCTATAGTGAGAAACCTAATAGTTTAGTGTTTCTCTTTTCTGTGCACACATGGCTCATTTTCATAAAATTGACATTGAATTGTATAGTTATGCACCTTAATATTATGTCATGAGACTGTCGTTAAGTCATTAAATATTCTAGAATGGAATAATTTGTAATATCTGCACAATATTTCTGGTTTTAGGTATATGTTTTTGCTCCTTCCCCAGATACTCTGCTGTATGGCTAATTTTTTTTCTTTCCTTAGAGATTTGATACGTGATCATTCAATTTTATTCTGTTAGTGGTTAAAAGAAAAAGCAGCTCTTATGTCTGGACTTTTTTTTTTTTAATTATCAGGGTTAGGGGCAAAATTGGGTCAATTCTTCTCTACTTACTCCACTCCATCTGTGTGAGATGAGAATGTGGCATGCTTTTATGTAATCTTACGACTGTTACTCATTTTTTAAATATAATTTCGAATTTTAGGCAGAAATTTTCCTTCTCAGTGTCTCTTTAAAGATTTGTTATATTTGCATGGTTTTATAAATGTTCTAACAACTGTATTCTAATTCATGTTTATATGATTTTATTGTTCACCTTCTTTGATGTTAAAACTTACCCATAATTTAGTTCTTCTGTTTTCATTTCTATTAGTTCATTTGCCTATTTAATAGTTTATAACCCAAAGAAACATGAGGATTATGCTTCTTTTTCCTCCATACATAAGAGTGACTATTTTGTGAATGAGATAAATTTGACCAAGTGTAAGTAAGTTTATGGAATCATAATATTTCCCCCACAAAAAGGTAAAAATACTTTAGAGACTTCTGCTAGTTTGTGTCTGAAGTGTTTTAATTTTGTTCATTTGTAAGACATCTATTTTGGTGTTGCTTGTGTTTTGTTATGTATATTTATTGGGCTGGTTTTTCCTCCTTTTCCTTGATATTATCTTCCACGTATTTATTTTCGATTGGTACACTTCAGTCTTCATTTACTTCAAGCAAATTTTATGACTAATCCAAGGTTTAGACTGACCTAGTTAATAATTATTTTTGAAAGCATTCATTGCTAGGTTTTTGAAATATATGATTAATACTTATTTGAGCTGTAATATTTGGCCGGGGCTAATCTGACAAAATATCTATAAGTGAACAGGAATGATAAGAATTAAAGAAATGTACCTCCTTATCCACTTTAATATTGAGGATAGGGATTATTTTCATTGTACACGAAGAAATACACTTTAAATAAAAAGACATGATTATTCTTATTATGTATTTTTTTTCAGAATTGCTGGTGTATAAGTCTAGTTTCTGATCTGAAGGGCAAGGCTGCTTTTAGTTTAAAGTGACAACCAACCAACATTATTAAACATGTTTTTATGTGCACATCATCTCATCATTGGTACCTCTGCATGTACATGGTCAGTGTTAGAATCATTTCCACATATCTTAAACAGCCCTCACTGACTGCCTTCCCAACCTACATTATATATGAAAGACAAGGAAAAATTGAATAGCTTTCACCTTTTTTAAAATATGAAAATATTTCTCTAGTGCATTCTGTCAAGTTCTTCCTTGTTCTCTTGTCCCTAAAAATGAAAACTTGTAGGGAGTTATGTAGTTATTTTAAGGTAACTTTTAAATAAATTTAGGAAGAACAGACATTTTTATATTCACTTTTCCTTTAAAGGAAAATTTGTTTATTGCTTTTAGTTATATTGATCAGTACAGTTCTGTTTTTTTCTGCCTTAGGTCAGTAATTTTAGCTAAATTTATTCATGAGTACTTGTTTGCTATTTGTTTGTTAATGGGACTTTGTATTTCAGTTTAGGATTTTTGTATTCCAGTTTATTTTCTAACCGGATTATTATTTATCAAAAAGCTATTACTTTAAAAAAAATTATAAGAATTGGAGTGACTGAGTGGCTCAGTTGGTTAAGCATTCAGCTTTTGATTTCAGCTCAGGTCATATTCTCAGGATAGTGAGACTAAGCCACATGTTGGGCTCTGCACTGAGTATGGAGTCTGCTTGAGATTCTCTCTCTCCTCCCCCCCCAAAATTATAAAAATTAATCTAAAACATTTCTAGATTTACGGAAAAATTGCTGTACACTCTGCTTCCAGTTTCATTGATTATTAACATTTTCTGTATACATTTAATGCAGCTAATAGTAATAATTGCATTAATTTAATAGCAATATATGTTCTTTCACTTGAATCTTGGAACAGTTTTGGAAGTAACATCTTGTTACCTCTTTCAGTATATTCTAAACTTTGGGTCATCCAGATTTTATACTACTAGTTGAGTCAGTGTTTGTAACTTAAGTTTACCTAGGAGATTTATTATTTTAGTAAAATATTGACATTTATTTTCTAGTCATTCATAGTAAAATAAGTTTTATCTTTGCATCATTAATTTGTAGGAATGATTTGTATATTCTGGGTAAACATGCATCATTAATTTGTAGGAATACTATATATATATCCGGGGTAAACATTTGTGTCTATTATCTCTTTCTCTGTGCATTTATACAATTTTTTCCAGTGACAGTTTCAGTTTTTCTAGTGCATTTTGGAATTTTCTGCATTTTTTTAAACCAGATCCCTTTTGTTTCTCTGCCTCCATCTCCCCTGTCACTTTTTCCATCTGCCTGAGAAGAGATTGTGTCTTCTTCAGTCTTTTAAGAGAGAGCACAGCATGTTCCAATGTTGTCATCTTTTTCTTAAAAAAATAATTCTGCCGAATTTTCAAGATGTTAGGATTCTTTATTCGTTTTTTAATTTCTGTAGCCTGGGTTTGGGACAAGTAGGATTTGAGCAGTGTCCACTCTGTTCCTCAGTCTGTATATAAGGATTAGAATGCTTTTGGAAAAGGAGCTGATTGATGATACTAACACCAATTTTCTTTGATCAGTGGAGTGTTTGTGTCCCAGAGTAATGGCCAACACAGGAGGTGAGGAATTTGGGGATACCAATTTGGTTTCCATTGTGGAGCATGTGTGGTCTGAGAATGTCCTATTAGCAAGACAGTTCACCATCTCCACAGATCCAGACGACAGTATCTCTTTCCAATTTCTTTACTAAGTTCCTGAGTGATTTTCCTACTTCTACCCTTGTTTTTCACAGAGATCCCAAGGTCCTTCTCAGATTTCGTCTCCTAAAATGATAATTTGCTCACTCCTCTGTAGCTCCACCGATCTCCTTACTGTTCGTAGAATACTGAAGCACTTTTTTTCCTCAGCGGCTGTGCCCTCCTGGTTTCCTCTGATAGGACACTTTTCTTCCTGCCATACTATCTAGTGCTGGAACCTACTATGCCCATGTACCCTTTACTCCAAGACCCTTTGGCTTTATTTTTCTCCAGAACCTTTACCACCATGTGGCATTTTGTATCTGTCTAGTTTTTGTTTGTCTTTTTCCACTGGACCAAGGCTTTACAATAACAAGAATATTTGTGTGTGTGTGTGTGTGTGTGTGTGTGTGTGTGTATTTGCCATTCTAGCTGGCACGGTGGACACTCAGAAGGATATTCTTTAATAAACCTGTGAATAGTGAATGATGAGTGACCTTTTTTGAGAGATTATTAAATTCATAAACATCATAGTTATTAGCTTACAGAAATGCATATATCTGGTAAAACTACATGACATCAGGCTACCCAGTGAAAGGTAAGTCTCTTATACCTCATCATCCATTGTTTAATTGCAAAAGAAGAAAAAGGTGCATGTTTATATAAACATTTCTTTCTTTCACTTGAAGAATCCCGTACAAACTGTCCTACACAGTGCTATTTACACTTACATAGTTTTTGGCAATTCTTCATTTTACATACTATATATTTATGTACACATATATTATACATTAGTGTATGATATACAATGACCAAGAATGATCTCCAAATCTGTATATATTAAGCATAAATAGCAATGTATAGGACTGTGTGTATACTGTTTTTAAATATGAATGTATGTATAAGTATAATATTATGTATTATATAGCATAAATGTATAATTATGTATATGTACATATTAGAGTGTATCATTTATAATACTTTTCATTCTTTTTCCTGGCTGGTGGTTAAGTTTCAGCTCAACATTTTAACTCATTATATTTTCCTTTGCAGTGCCCACTGTTGATGTCTTTCAGATTTCTACAAAAGAGCGATTTGGATTGGGACATCAGCTAAAAAAGTAAGTTTCCCAAGAATAAAAAATAAATTTCTATTAAAGAGAATGGATTTATTGCTTTGCTCACTTCCCTCCCCCATTCTTGTTCAATAAGAGCCTTTTAAAGTGAGTGCCTCAGGAGAGGAACTCATGTGATGCCAAGAGCTGCATCAGTAATTTAGCTGGCAGAGTTCACATCTAGACCAGGCTGCATTCTTTTTATTTGCCTGCCTGGATCCACTCTCCTCCTTCCAAAACTCTGCCCTCACCTGTGGAGCTGATATGGTGGGTATAGCTTCTAACGTTTCGCTGTGTCTCGTGTGACCAACAGAGGAGGAAGCAGTGTTAAGAAGGGAGTATTTATTGTCTTTGGCTTCCACCCTAAGAGGTCACCTTGAGTTAACTAGTTCTTCGACTGAAACTCTCTTTTCTGCTCTAGGCCACAGCATTTGCAGGACTCTCTCTCTTACTGGGTTCCATTACGGTTTCCCTCTGCTTGTCCCTTGGAGCCTAGACATGGTAACAGTCAGCAGCCATTGGCCCTGGGCAACTGCACTGTGCTTAGCTTCTATACCTACACTCTTCAAACAATCAATTCTCTTTTAAAAATAAACCCTTTATTTCTTTGTTAGATCTTGACTAATTAAATGGATGAGTTTATATTTTAGAAACATAAAATTACCGTGGTCAAAATGACTTTTAAAACATAGTAGCAGGGAGCCTGGGTGGCTCTGCCAGTTAAGTATCTGCTTTCAGATCAGGTCATGATCTTGGGGTCCTGGGATTGAGCCCCACCATCAGGCTCCCCTGCTTAGCGGTGAATCTACTTCTCCCTATCCTTTTGCCCCTTCCCCCTGCTTGTGCACTTTCTCTCTTTCTTGCTCGTTCTCTCTCAAATACATAAAATCTTTAAAAACAAACAAAAAATAAAAACAAAACATAGTATATAGTCAAAATATGAATTTAATAAATCCCATGCTATATGTCAGCTATAAGAATTTGTATTACTGGAGAATACCTGAAGGGTTATTTATTCTTCTGAATATGCAAATTTTATTTCAACTTAAATTTTTCTCTTTCTTTGATTTTTTTAAACATTTATTTATTCATGAGCGAGAGAGAGAGAGAGAGAGAGAGAGAGAGAGAGAGAGGCAGAGACACAGGCAGAGGGAGAAGCAGGCTTCACGCAGGGAGCCCGACATGGGACTCCATCCCAGGTCCCCAGGATCAGGCCCTGGACTGAAGGCGGCGCTAAACCACTGAGCCACTCAGGCTGCCCTCAACTTAAAATTTTCAAGACAGATCATTAGATTATTGTATATTTAAACACATGATTTGCACCCACCATGATGATGGAGTTCATTGTTCACCTGTATTTTAATGAATTTTAATTAGGTATCAGACATTAGCCTTTATTGAGCAATGTTCTAAGAGAAAGTACTTTGAAACTTTTTTATTTCATTTACTAAATAGGGGATTTATTGTGATCATTTTACCTGAGATTATGGATACAGGTAGAAGCTTATGCGTGTTATTAAGGGTTACATATTATGGAGCTCTAGAATTGTCTTAAAGTTTTTATGATTTGACATTGCTCAACTGTGAGTTATGTGTGGATCACATTTGAAAGGAAATTAAGATAAGGGAGTATTCTTGCAAATTCTCAGTGTTGGGTTTAAATGTGAACATAAAAAATTAGATGGTAAGCCCTTATGGTTTCAAACTGCACATCTGTAAAACTAAATTCAATTTATAACATATATTTAGTACATTATAGAATGCAGTGTTATTTCTTGATAAGGACTCAAAAGAGAAATTTTCTCAGTTTTCTGTACTAGGATTAGATGTGCTTTTCCAGTGGAATTGGTTTTGTTTTTTAAAATTGGATTTTGTTTTCTGTGTCAGGCTAGTATCTTGCACATCTTGGAGCTAAGTATAGAGCCTGCCTCTGTTATGCCATCCAAGTTGGTTACCACCATTCATTGGCGCATTCCCCCTCCTATGTAGTTTTTTCCCCCTCACCCAGTTTTCTTCTTTGTTTTTAATTTTTTTAATTTAATGATTTTATTTTTTTAAGAGAAGTTTTAGGTTCACAGCAAAACTGATTCAAGATACAGAGATTTTCCATATATCTCCTCGCCTTCTTATTATCAGTATCTCTTACTAGAATGGTACATTTGTTGGAGTTGATGAATATATATTGACACTAAACTATCATCCACAGTCCATAGTTTTACTTTATGTACTTCTGTTAGCCACTTAACAAAATTATTTCGTGAAAGTTAAATGAGGTTGATTTCCAGCAAGACAAGAATTACAAAACAGAAATCTTGAAATATATGACTTTCTGCCCTTTAATGTTGTCTGAGTCTATTGTTTGGGCTTTGGAAAAAAAATGATGTGTATAATTCCAACTTTGAGAAATTAAGGAAAGCTGTGTTCTATATTCATTGTTTAATCACTTCACTTTGGATATGTAACATTTTGTTAATATTTCCATCTAAATGTTTAACATTTTAAAAAGGTTAATTACTTCTATGGATAAATTTTAGTTCTATGGCCAGTTTAGTATATGTGCTAGAACTTTTTCTTAATGATAACTGATAAATTTTAATCTAATTTACTTTTCCTTAATTATAAATAACTGGGCTTGCCTGTGATCCCTGCTAGTCTAAAATTTCATGATTTCCAAAAATCTGATCTCATCTTCATAGTAAGTCATAAGAAGAAACTTGAAATATAAAGAGATTATTTTCCAGAAACATATGGCAAGTTAGGAAGTCCGACTCAAGATCTAGGCCCTTTGTTATTATTGCTCTCGTTTGTTTTCAGCAGTAAGAAACACTCATTAAACTTTTTTCCATGATTCTTTATCTGGTGTGTTTCCGGCAAGTAGATGGGTTTAATGATGATTACAGTAGCCTTTTTTCCTCTTCTTTTATTATCAGCCAGTGGCAAATGTAGTAGCTCTTCGGAGTGCCAGCATAATAGAAACACTAGTGTGAACACTAAAATCTCTTGGTGGCCCTCTGTTATTAAGAGGTGGTCATTACACCACATGTATATTTTACATTACTATGGACATTAAACACAACATTAACTTTCTTACAGGACAGTTAACTCCTGCTTTTTGAATTCAAGAACATCTAGGGATCTGAGTGTCCCAAGTTTAAGAATTACTGGTTTTAGCTGCTGAGATTACATTGTGGAACGCTAATGCAGTATGGAAGTTAGAACAGCTTTAGTTATTGACTCGTTATTGTTTTGTCCCAATTAGTCTATCAAGAATTAGAAAAGCACTTGTTAGGTTTCTTAGGGAACGGTGCACAGGAATGGCAGTTTTTCATAGGAGGAAAAGAATCTGAATCTACGTAGTGGAAAGGGTTAGTGGTGTTACAGGGTGTTTAGTGGGATTTCAGGTTACATACAGGGAAAAACAAAGTAATATTACTATTACATTTAAATTTTGCTGAGGTCTTGGGTGAAAAAAAATCTTCAAAAATAAAGCATTAAATAAAAAATAAAAAAAATTTCCATTGGCCTGAGCTTGAAGGCGAATTTACTGCAAATTTGGAATCCTGCATCATTGGCTTCAGTTTTATCTCCTTCTTCCTCTCAGTTTGTAGCTAAAAAATATTCCATGAATGACTGTTTCTTCTGAACTCATCTAAGCTCGATGACTAAAGGTCAGAATAGTAAGGCTGAAGTTGTACTTTTTGGTGATTTGAGTTAATTTGATAGAACCTGAATAGTCTTGAGAATAGTGCTTAGTGCTAAGAGTCCCACCTTTCCCTTTTGAGCAGCATAGGTTAACATAGGTCAGTCTAGACTGGACAGCATAGGTGTTGCAGTTTTTCCACCAGGCTAAATTGGGAAGATTTCAATCTTTAACCTTATTTGTGTGAAATAATAGCTCCTGCTCTCTGGGGGTATTGAGAGTTAAAAGAGAAAAAACATTGTTCTATAAATTACTCCTTGATATATTATAAATGGTAAATATTGATACCATTTTTTTTCCTCCCAAAGCAATCTGTGTTAGAAATAACTGAGAAGGGCAGCCCCGGTAGGTTAGCAGGTTAGTGCCACCTTCAGCCCAGAGTGTGATCCTGGAGACCCAGGATCAAGTCCCATGTTGGCTCCCTGCATGGAGCCTGCTTCTCCCTCTACCTGGGTCTGTGCCTCTCTCTCTCTCTCTCTCTCTCTCTCTCTCTCTCTCTGTGTGTGTGTGTCTCTCATGAATAAATAAATAAAATCTTACAAAAAAAAAGGAATAACTGAGAAAAACATAAAAAGCAGGCAAAGCTGAACTGACTTTTGAAAGAAAATCACAATGTTTAATTTATTGTATACATAATGTTTAATTGTAAGAATTCACATCTACTTTTTTTTAAGTTTTTTTTATTTTTATTTATTTATGATAGTCACACAGAGAGAGAGAGAGAGAGAGAGAGAGAGAGGCAGAGACACAGGCAGAGGGAGAAGCAGGCTCCATGCACCGGGACCCCGACGTGGGACTCGACTCCGGGTCCCCAGGATCGCGCCCTGGGCCAAAGGCAGGCGCCAAACCGCTGCGCCACCCAGGGATCCCCTCACATCTACTTTAATATCAGCCTTAACAGACCCTTTGCCATTGTCACTTGAAAGATGAGATACCTAGAAGTTGTCGCAATCTGGGACCTTTCTCAGAAAACAATGCCATATATTCAAGTCCACAGCTGATGTTCCAGAATTCTTTGCCATAAAATAGTGATGTGCAGTGGTCTTAATTTAGAAAATACTGAGATCAGGATTTACCAAATTCCTGCTTTATGATAGTAAACTAAAAGTTTTTAGAGACATACACATTTGGTTTTTTTTTTTTTGTTTTTTTGAGATTTATTTATTATTTTATAGAGAAACAGGGTGTGCGTGTGTGCATAAAAGGTTGGGGAGGGGCCGAGGGAGAAGGAAAGGGAGAGAGAGAGAGAATCTCAAGCCGACTCTGCACTGCCACAACCAGCTGGATCTCATGACCCTGAGATCATGACCTGAGGCTGAAACCAAGAGTTGGTCACTTTACTGACTGAGCCACCCAGCCGCCAACATAGCTGACACAGATATTTTTAAGAAACCAATGTATTTAAAAGTGAATGGGTTGTGCTGAGAAAGAAAATTTGCTGATTTCGTATTTCTCCATAGAGTCAGTTTTACATGGTTTGTTTTTACTTAACGATTTCACTTTCATTTTATTTCTCTTTTCATGAAGAAAACTGCATATGCAAATCAAGTGAAAAGAAATTGACTTTACTTGTATCTTAATAGATAAAATCATAATTACTATCAAACATTTTATTCAAAACTGTTTCTGGCACCAACAAAATAATTCACAATGTCCCTTCAGCTAAAGAGCTTTGGCTAAAGTTGTTGATCCTAAAGGCTGCCCTTCTAAATCTCCTTATATCCTATAATATATAATTTTTTTGAGATTTTTATTTTTTTATTTGTTTGAGAGAGAGTAAGCACAAGCATGAGTGGGAGGAAGGCGCAGAGGGAGAGGGAGAAGCAGACAACTCACTGAGCAGGGAGCCCAACATGGGGCCAGATCCCAGACCCCGGGACCATGACCTGAGCCGAAAGCAAATACTTAACCATCTGAGCCACCCAGGTGCCCCCATTTTTTCAATTCTTTTTATCACTTGTGTTATTAATCATATCACAGAAATTAATGAGTTATTAACCAAAATGCAGTAAAGTCATAGAAATTTTCTGCATGGCGCTTTCCCACATGTGGAAACATCTCGTATGACTCTCAATTTAGAATCTCTCCAATTACTGTGCATTTCTTTTCCTTTGATAAATACATTCCCCCTATAGTAGAGAAATCTCATATTACGTTATCTTGGAACTGTGATGACAGACTTACTTTGGATTGACAGGATCATGCAGACGTTTGTTACCCAGCAGTGGAAACAGAGCAAAGAAAAATCCAATTGCCTGCACAGTAAGAAGCTGTCAGAGAAGAAGGTGAAATCTCCCCTGCATTTATTTTCTACCTTGCGCAGGTGGGTAGTAGATGACTTCGTTGTCTTTTCTCGATTCTTTGGTACTTCGGAGCATTCTTCCTACAGTCTTGGCATCCATTTATTTTCTGTATGACTTCGAAGAACAGACAAAGTTCTATCCATTCCATCAAAAACATAGAAAGATACTCATTTCTACACTGAGTTTCTGTTTTCTTAACGTGAGTTAAATGTGTTAAAATGACATTCTTTGTTTTCTGATCACACAGAGTCGTCTCTATGTGATTAGTTGTGCATAGACTTCTGGGGTAGGAGGGGCCAAAAACCTGATAATCCTTTTTTTTGCTTTGCAGGAAACACATAATTCAGGTCAGTCCGTGTGATCACGGCGCACACACCTTTAGGTTTCTATGTGAGCCGCGTGGGCTGTAGTAAAACGAGGGGGTATCTAGCAGAGCTGAGTTGGCTGGAGCCGCCCAGGCCTGCCCCGTTGTTAATTGTTGTTCCCTTTTGAAGGTCGCCAAGTTATCCTCCCCCTGGTTGCGGTAAGAGCAAATCCAAACTGAAATCCGAGCAAGACGGAATCTCCAAAACGCATAAGCTGCTGCGGAGGACTTGTTCCAGTACCGTCAAGGCTGACGACGTGTGTGCCACCAAGTCGCACAGGACCTTTGGCCGCTCCCTGTCCAGCGACCCCAGGGCGGAGCAGGCCGTGACGACCCTTAAGTCGCACAAACTCTTGACCCGGCCCTGCCCCGCGGCTGTCAAGCCCGAGGACTGCCTCACCCTGAAGTCGCACAAACTGTTGACACGGTCCTGTTCGGGGGATCCGCGGTGCGAGCACAGCTCCAGCTTGAAGCCCCACAAACTGCTGAGCAGATCCTACTCCAGTAACCTCCGAATGGAGGAGCTGTACGGGCTGAAAAACCACAAGCTGCTCAGCAAGTCTTACTGCAGTGCTCCCAAGTCCTCCAAGACGGAGCTTTTCAAGGAGCCTAACGCAGAGGGCAGGAGGCTCTCTCTTACCTCAGGGCTTATTGGTATCTTAACACCATCTTCGTCGTCCTCTTCCCAGCCCGCTGTGCGTAAACCCTTTTCATCCCCAGTTCCTATAGGGTCACTAAGGGGCAGGAGAGGGGTGTGTGCGTGTGGGTGTTGTCAGGTCTGGTAGAGGAAAGAAGCAAGATTTGTTTCTGGTTGGTTGATTTTTATTTTTTTGGTTTGCTTTGTTTTGTTTTGTTTTGTTTTGCTTAATGTACCCTTTTTTTCTTTGGGGATAGGATTTAGCAGACCAGACCTGTGCAACCGGTACTGGAATGTCCTTTTCGGTTCTGAAAAAAAAAATAAATAGAGCTATTGATTTAAGGTCTAGTCCAAATTCTGGTCATGGTCATGAATGCTGCTAAAAATGGATGTCGGTTGGATCCCTAAAGCCTAGATCCCTAAAGCCTATCCTACTAAGCGAGCATGGCATTTTAATGTTTTATCAAGTAGGTTTATCTGTTTGCTAGTTTCCATACATAGGTAGTGGAGGACAGAGTTAGTCTAATAATGAAATATATATATATATGTATATTACTCTAATATTACAAAGGAACACTTTGCCTATGAACATCGTAACTTGTAGAGAGAAGCAGCATTTCCTTCTGTATCCCAGAGCTTCACTTAAAGCTGCTCTCAGTGTCTACTTTATAAAACTGAAATCACTTTATCCTGAAGTTTTTTGGTGGAGATGGGGCTGGAAGGTGACTGTGATAAAACTTGAGTCCTTTGGGTGGTATTTATTGGGAGTCAGTCTTACACAAAATTTACCTTTGGAGTGATCAATTAGAGCCAATTTCAGATAAAGAAAACAGACCTACCTTCTGTATATTAATTACATAAAAGAGTTGATAAAAAATGTTGCTTTTTTTTAGGGGGGGAAATGTGTGTATGTGTGTGTGTGTGTTGGGGTAAGCATGTTTGTAACTCTTAACCATACATATGGATACACTTAGCAATCGATGAAATTGAAAAAAAAATGAGATTTATTTTCAGAAAGTTGTTCTGCTCTTATATAGCTTTATTTCTAAAATTACATTGTAAGTGATATCATAAAAGTATATTTGTGTTAAGAGAATATATTTAAATATGTTGATAACTTTTAGTTGGAGATCCCTAAAAGTCCATTTCCTAGCAAAAGTAAGCATTTAGGACACATACACAGGAAATAATGTCAAAGCGTTAACATAGAGTTTCCCATGATAATTATACCTTCGAAAGATAATTTCACATATTCTATAAAGGAAAATGCCTTACTATCTTCCTGTATGATTAACCCTCATATAGTACAATAGTTTAGTGTTGTGCCTCCTCAGTAGCTGTCTCATATATCCTTGGAGGAATAATTCTCATTGTAAAATAAGATCGAAAGTAGTCTAAGTGAGGAGGTGGGAGCATTTGACAGTAAGCAGTAGAGGAAATGAGCTTTTGTGCTCATTTAAAAATGCCAATCATTTTTACTAGAAGATCAAAAATTAAGAATACTATTCATTTAGCTTAGACAAGGCTTGCAGTAGTAATGGCAGAAAGTATATTATAATAAAGAAATTCTAAAATCTTGATGTCATAATCGGTGATTTAATTCATATTACAGGCCATCTTAGATCACACTTGTATTCACTGTTGCAGAAAGTCAAAGTCTGTAATTTATATATTCTTTGAGTTAAAAAATTATTTTCTTCTTTTACTTTGCTTTTTATAGCCAAATGGTGCCAAATGCATTCCAATACGAGACCGCGGCTTCCTCGTGCAGGTATGAGCCAAGCCATCCATTGCAGAAGGATTTTAGCTTTTAATGGGTTTTCAGATAATTTCTGAGCTTAATTATTTCTCTTTATTGTTTTATTCAGACAATTGAGTTTGCTGAACAGCGGATCCCTGTATTGAATGAATACTGTGTGGTTTGTGATGAGCCACATGTGTTTCAAAATGGCCCCATGCTTAGGGTAAGTTCTCACTGATAGAACTATCAATGCTAATATAGAATATAAATGACAAGGGTTAAGATATAAATAAGTAAATGACTTGACTTAGCAGTAAATGCTCTCCAATGAGCAAATTATGTAATGCACATAGTGGTGTAATTTTGACAAATGAATCACTGTTTCTGAAGGAGTCTGTGAAAGAGCAAGTTGTTTCATATTAGGAAAATATTTCTTAAATGTGCCTATCCGTCATCTCTCTTTCCATCCATCTATTTGCGTGTATCTCTCTATCCATTTACATCTATGTTAATATCAATTGATGTAGACGTAGGTGGATATAGAGATAAATACAGCTAAAGATGTATATATATAAGCTTGTGAACAGTGTTTCTTCAAAACCACACAATTTTAAGATGCTTACTCTAGAGAGGAAAGGGTTGAAGTTAGAAGAGATATAGAGTAGCTTTCAGAGAATTAGAATAAAGATTTTTTAAAAGTGCCAGCTCACTGACACGTTTGGGGCATTATTGAGGGAGTACAGAAATAAGAATCAGTGTATATATGTGCAGTTTGGGGGGATTCACCCAATTTCAAGTTTTCCTGCAATTTTTAATTGAGATAAAATTCACCACCATGCAATTCACTATTTTAGTGTATACAATTCAGTAGTGAGTTTTTAGTATATTCATAAATGTGCAACCAGTACCACTGTCTGATTCCAGAACATTTCTGTTACCCTCCAAAACAACCCCTCACATGGGTGCCTGGGTGGCTCAGTTGCTCAAGTGTCTGCCTTCTGCTCAGGTCCTGATCTCAGGGTCCTGGGATCCAGCCCCATGTCAGGCTCCCTGCTCGGTGGGGAGCATTCTCTCTCTCTCTCTCTCTCTCTCTCTCTCTCTCTCAAATAAATAAAATCCTTAAAAAAAGAAAAAAAAGAAATCCTTAACTGTTAGCAGTCATTCCCAATTTTGTCTTCCCCTCATTCTCTGGAAACCATCAATTTATTTTTTTATTTATATGAATTTGCTTATTCTGGACATTTCATACAAATGGAATCATATGTTATTCAGCCTTTTGTTTTTGGCTTCTTTCACTTAATATAATATCTTCAATGGGGTGCCTGAGTGGCTCAGTGGTTAAGCGTCTGCCTTCAGCTCAGGGCGTGATCCTGGGGTTCCGGGATCAAGTCCCATATCGGGCTCCCTGCATGGAGCCTGCTTCTCCCTCTGCCTGTGTCTCTGCCTCTCTCTGTGTGTCTCTCATGAATAAATAAATAAAATCTTTAAAAAATAGATGTTCTCAAGATTCATCCATATAGTGTCTATCATTCCTGTGTTCATCTTTTTTTTGTAATAGTATTATATGGGTATATGACATTCATTTATCCATTCATCATTTAAAGGAATTACCAGGACATGTGTTAACTCTGTTTAAGAAACTACCAAACTCTTTTTGACAATGGCTGTATCATCTTATATTCCCATCGACAGTGCATGATGGTTCCAATCTCTCCACGTATTCTCCAGCACTTGTGATTCTCCCTTTTTTCCCATCCCAATTATAGCCATCCGAATGTACGTAAAGTGGTATTTCCTTATGGCTCAGATTTGCACTTCCCTAATGATTAGTGATTTTAAGCATTTTTTCATGTGCTTATTGGCCACTTGTGCGTCTTCTTTGGAGAAATGTTTGTATTCATTGCCCATTTTTAATTGGACTATTTCTGTTTTGTTGATGAGTTATTAGAGTTCTTTATATATTCGGAATACTAGATTTGTATTAGATATGTGATTTGCAGATATTCTCTCCTGTTTTATGGATTTTCTTTTCACTTTCTTGATAGTGTCCTGTGACACTCAAAAATTTTTAATTTTATGAAGTCCATATTTATCAATTGAACTATTGCTAATCCAAAGTTACAAAGATTTATACCTATATTTCCTTTTAAGTATTTTATAATTTCTGTCTTACAATTAACTCACTGATCCTTTTTGAGTTAATTTTTGTGTATGGGGTTAGGTTTTAAATTTATTCTTTTGTATATAGATACCCAATTGCCTCAGCACCATTTATTGAAAAGACCACCTTTCTCCATTGATCTTGGCACCCTTAACGAAAATCATTTGACTCTTGGTGTATTGGTTTATTATTGGACTCCTAATTTTATTCCACTAACCTGTATGTGTATCATTGGACCTGTGCTACACTGTCTTGATTACTGTAGCTCTGCGGTAAGTTTGTAAGAAAGAAGTGTGAGTCCTCCAACTTCGTTTCCTTTTATAATATTGTTTTCACTACTTAGGGTCCCTTGCACTTCTATTTGAATTCTAAGGTCAGTTGTTCATTTCTGAAAAAAAATAAAAGAGGGGGGAGTTGGAATTTTATAGGTTTGCGTTGAATCTCTAGGCCAATTTGAGAAGTATTGCTGCCTTAACAATTTTAACCCTTCCAATCCATGAACACAGGAAAAATTTCCATTTATTTGGATCTTAAAATTTTTTTTTCTACACTGTTTTGTAGTTTTCATTGTTCAGGTCTTATACATCCTTGGATAAACTTATTTTTAAGTTAGTTTATTCTTTGTTATGCTCTTGTCACTTCTAACCAACATTGCACTGGAGGCTTTAGCTGATTAGATAAGAAAAAATATTAGAAGGTATCTAGATCAGAAAGGAAAAACTGAAATGATCTCTATTTGCAGATGACATGAGTGCTGTGTGCTAGACACTGCAGTAGATATTTTACATATTGCTTCCTTATTTGATTTTCACAAAACTCTTGTGATTTATGTATTTTTGTGCCCATGGTGCACAAATTGGGGATTAAGATTGAAAAAGGTTAAGCAATTTGTTCAACATCACTCAGCTAATGGTAAAAGCTGGACTTTGAGCCTGATGCTACCTGGTTTTAAAACTGTATCATAACTGCTTACTGAAGGCTTCTTAACTATAAGGCATCATGCTAGATTCTGTTGTACTGTTTAAGAGAAATTTCTCCTGTTCTTGGGAATGTATATTTGAAAAGACAAGTTAAAAAGCCTAGAAAGAGGGATCCCTGGGTGGCGCAGTGGTTTGGCGCCTGCCTTTGGCCCAGGGCACAATCCTGGAGACCTGGGATCGAATCCCACGTCGGGCTCCCGGTGCATGGGGCCTGCTTCTCCCTCTGCCTGTGTCTCTGCCTCTCTCTCTCTCTCTCTCTCTCTTTCTCTCTGTGTGTGTGTGTGACTATCATAAATAAATAAAAAAAATTTAAAAAAAAGCCTAGAAAGAGACAATTTTGTCAGTATTTGTTTGCATTTTAAGATTTATACTCTTAAAAACCTATACTAATCATTTCTAATCATGATCTTTTGTCAAGTTGTCTGATATGTTGGTTTTATTTTATTTGCTTATAGGGAACAGATATACAGAAAGTTTTCTTGCCTCCCATACACTATTTTTTATCTTCCTTCAAAGAGATACAGTATTACTCTGAAACCCAAATTAACTAAATCATCATTTATTAAATATTTGTGCAAGTGTGTGTGTGTATTAAATATTTGTGCAAGTGTGTTACATGATACTTGGAAATGTGTAGTTACGATGAGAATAAGGAGAATCCTTTGGTCATCTCAGTTTACCCATTAGAGGTCCATCTTTATATCTGTGTATCTTTTTTTTATATATATATCTGTGTATCTTGATCTATTGCTTGATCTATGGCAATGCAATCTTCACTCCAGAAATTAATAGTAATGTTATTAATGGCACATGCTTTTTTAGTGCTTTTTATGCGATCATGTGTTCAAGGTGTTTTACATGGATTGATTTAATCCTCATGATAACCCTATGAGATGGCTATTATTATTACCCCTGCTTTACAGATGAGGAAAACAATAATTTTTTTAAATATCAACACTGCTAGTAAGTGATAGAGATGAAATTCAGATCCTGTCAGAATGGCACAAGGCCACGGTTCTTAGTCATGGTGCTACTTTTGTACTTGAACTGACTACTTTTATATCCTGGAAATTTACTACACATGTTGTGGTTCTTATGGTTCAGTTACTGGCAGTTCATTTTTGTAATAAGTGCTAGAAATGTCCTGATTGCCATTGGTATTCTCTGTGCCTTGTTCCAATTTTTGTTTTTACTTTACCTGTTTTATTCTGAACCAGTGAAGCTGCTGGTTTCTTTCTAGAAGTGGAAGTGCTTTTGTAAATAATGATGCTTTCTAAAGAAATAGAGCTAGTTATCAGCTGGTTTTATATTGCTGCAATTTCAGACTGATATCTAAGGAAATCAGAAACCTACTTAGGTTTCTTAAAGAGTAAGATAAGTGACAACTGAGACCAGAACAGAAAATGAAAGTCAAAGAAACGTCTGATTGTCAAAGGAAAAGAAGTAAACAGAAAGCACTGCTTCTTGATTGTTTTAAATAGATATTAACCTAAATCCAGCATACTCATTTTTTATATATCTCTCTTCACATTGCAGTATGTTTTATTGTAGTTTTAATAGAAATGTATAAAATCATAAAATTTCTTATGGGGTATTAATCACTAAACTGACCCATTGACCATTTATTCAGCTCAGGTGACACATTACAAACTGTAATACTACTAGAGATATAGAGAGAAGAAGTTATACCCCATTGGGTGGTTAAATAGATCAGAAAAAACTCGGGGTTCCATAGAATTCTATGCCTGATGTTCATTATGTTTGTTAGATCTCTCTCTTTCAAAATTCAAAGTGTGTCTTACATTTTTTCTCTTTTTTCTAAGCATGATTATTAATTGAATGACTAAGTCGCCCTTTACTACTATTCCCCAGAAGTCCTAACATTTTGGTCACTAGTACTGCTCTGTCACTTTCCTCAGAGATCTGGGTAAGCATATCAAACTTTCTGCAACATGGGTAGCCACACTGCTTACTTATTTAGAATACATAATGATCCACTTATCTCTTTGTTCATTGAGGTCATAAATGTCACTCCCAGGTGTGAGGCCTGACATGAAATACTTTGAAAATGCATAAAACTCA